TTTGATAAAAATAAGTTGAAATCATGTAATTATAAACAAGTCTAAATGATGTAAAATTTTGATTTACTAGAATTGAATTGATTTCAACGTAGATAAGATAATATAAGTTGTAAGTCATGATTGTTTTTTGTTTATGGTTTGGTAACATATGCTAGTATTGTTTTTACTTTTAGGGTTATATTTTAGAATCTTTTAAAAAAATTGGCACATATATATATATATATATAGTTTTGTATATATTAAATACTTTATAAGTTAATAATATGATTAATGAAGTATTTGTTACTATTTAGTTAGTTATTTAATTTAAGGTTTAGTTACTTTCTAATCAAACTTACTATATATTAAAACAAATACTTATATAGATGCATGTTTGTACAACCATTACATTGTTGTGATGTTGAGAATTACATATGTTTATTCTGTTAAAATAAACATCTGTGAGGGTGCACATGTCAAGTTCAAGTTTATCATTAAAGCTTATGTGTTTTTTTTAGTTTGTTCTAGCCCTGGGAAAAAAACCGGAACTGAAAAATCAAACCGGGACCGAACCAAAATATCCGAAACCGAAATCGGACCGAAATTCTTAAATATCTTAATGGTTTCTATATTTATATACCCGAAAAACCGATCCGGAACCGGAACCGAACTGAACCGAGAACCGAACGGGTACCCGAATATTCGAAAAAAACAAGTTAAAGTTTTTTAATATAAGATAAAATGACATCAAGCCCATTTGAACCCATGTTGAATACAAAGAGTAAGTATATTTTTACCACCAGACCATATTATGTTTTATTTACTCTCTTATATTATAAATATATACAGTATTTCGATATTAAAATACGATAAATATTTATAAGATTAACACTTTATTGATTCAAACTCTTGTTGGATTGACGAATATGTAAGCGTGTAAATACTAAAACATTTAAACTAACATATTAACTAATATATTCTGTATATATATATTTGATTTATATATGAAACGGGTATCCGGAACCGAACCGAAACCGAACCAAAATCTCTTAAGTATTTATTGGGTATAAGAAGGATATATTTCGATATACCCAGAACCGAACCGTATATCCGAATGCCCATGCCTACTTTGGTCAATAGTCTTGAAATAAGTTAATGCATTTTGAAAATCAAAGCACTTATACGAGTGACATTAATTTATGGAGTACAAAAAAATCAGTTTTTATGTTAGTTCGTTTTTGGTAAAAAAATGTTAATTTTATTACCATTTTTATTTTGACAAAACAACAAAGAAGCTAAGGAGCAGAAAATGCAAAACTTAAAGCTAAACAACAAGTCAATCTAAGCAAACACGAGGTCAACAACTACAAGTCAAGCAACAATACCAGAGACTACAACCAACTCAGCACATGCCACAAAATTGAAGCCATTGAATCCCGAGAACTGAACCCAGTAGATTTGGCAGTACCCGATGATCAGTTCTTAAAGATTTGCTCCTTAAGTACAACTCTTGAAAGACATCCTTAACTGCATCCACCATGAACAGAGAGCAACACCCGAGCAAGTACACCCACATAGACAGTATGCGAAGGACCACCAGAGACGCCATGTACACCACCAAACCTGCAATGGAGAGACATAACCAAGCTAGCACCGCTTTGAGTCAAAAACAGTCAGGAGTAGGCCTTAGATCCAGCCCTGAAACTAACAGGAAACAACACGTGCTGACACAGGGGAAGAGGAACCATGGTCCGTGGCAGATCCATCATTACTTTTATGCTGTGTTCAATTTAGTACTTAAAAATATATTCCCTTCGTTTCATATTAAGTGTCATTTTAGAGAAAATTTCTCATTGCAAATTAAGTGTCGTTTTCGGTTTTCAATGCAAAATTAATTAATTTTGTTCTGTAATTTATTTTTCTATTGGTTGAAATAAAGTTAGGTGTATAGATAATTGTGTTTTATATGAAAAATATGCAAAATTTATTATTACCTTAATCCGTGTACCGAAGTCTAAAACGACACTTATTATGAAACAAAAAGAATTTAAAATAAAAATGGCTCAGAGAGAGTTTTAACCCATGGTTTTAGGGGTCAATAAATGAATTTAACCAACAGAACTATGCATTCTTTACCAAACATAAGCCCTACTAAAGAAACTTCAACATTTATGGGGTGTCAGATGACCTTACACCTTCTTTACTAGGTCCGCCACTGACCATGGTTGACAAGACCGACGATGCTCACCCCCACATGCGACTGTGGCAGGTTTTTACATTAGTTGATGACAATATAAGAAATGGAGCCATCAACATCAATAGCTTGAGTTTCTCTCTTTGGGGGAATGTCTTCTTCTTCTTCTTCAAGAAAATTGTTTAGGTCAAATGGATAGTCAACTTTAGCATAAAATCCATGCATTTCTTCTATTCTTTGATTTGATTTTAATTAGAACTTTTAGTCATATTTGTGCACATCATAAGTACAAGTGATTCTTGGAAGCTTTTTATAGATCTTATTCAATTGAAAAAATATAAAAAGTCACTGTTACGTTTAACATTGTAATGAGGTTTATGAATCAGTTAATAATGACTATAAAATGTCTTTGGAATTTCAAATTATTCTATTATTTGGTCATTTTGAGGTTAGAATTGACAATATCACAAAACAACTGTATTAGATTTCAAAAAGACATTTTTATGTAACAAAAAAATGGGAAAATTGTTTTTTAGGCCAAAACAATTAGGACATTGTCCTTTTAGGTTAATTTATATTTTATACCATTTTTGAATCTAATGCCTTTAAATATTTTCAGAAATTAATCAAATAAATAGTTTTATGAACAAAAAAAAATATTTGACCAAAAAACAAAAAGAACAAAAAATTCTAAAATAATAACTGATGATAAAATACCTATATCAACTTAGTGGTATCTTTTTCGAGTTTAAAAAATATTTAAATCATAATTTCATATTTTGTTTTACAGATATTAGATTTGACGTTAGTATAATATGAAATCCATTTTTTTCATAAAATCTACTATATTCAGAATACATGCTCTACATAAATAATAGTAATCTAAAACTACTTAATTAAGATACACATTCCGCAGTTAACATATCCTTCTAAAATCAGTAGAAATTGAAATCTAAACATTACTATAAATATAAAATAGGTAGAAATCAGAATCTACACATTACTATAAATCTAAAACCTCTAGAAATTGATTTCAAACATTGTTAATGCATTCTACATATAGTCGAATACATATTCTACGGATAAAGACTATAAATTGTGAAAATTTTGAAATAAAATATTTGAAAATATATTATTACCATATATTAAAATTTTATTTTCCAAAAAAAAAATTCTTTTCTAATTAGATTTTCGAATTAATAAACTATTTGCAAATATTTTTTAAAAATATTTGGAAATATTTCAAAAATATTTTTAAAATATTTGCAAATATTTTTCTTAAAAACATTTACAATTGCGTAACTTTGGGAATAAAATATTTGATTTTTTTTTTACTTTCCAGTAATATTTTTTTATTTAAAATTCGTTTTTAATATTTGGAAATAACTTTTTTAATCTCGAATTAGATTTAAAATATTTGGAAATTTTTTTGGGTTTTTTCTAATTCCTAAATAGTTTTTTATTTGGAAATTTGGAACTATATTTTTTAATTTCGAATTAGTATTTTAAAATATTTGGAATTATGTTTTAAAAAAATATATTTAGAAATATATATTTTAAAAATTTTGGAATTTCGAAAATTTGAGAATACATATTTGAAAATATTTTTTTTAATTTCGAGTTAATTTTTCTATTAAATATTAAGTATATAAATATTATTTTCTAATTGAATTTGAATTAATAAACTAATTTTAAGGATATTTTTGCCATTTAGAGAAGTTTTAAACTAATAGGATAACTATACAATGGAATTAGCGTAAAGAGACAATGTATTAATTTTTTTGGTCTAAGAAATAATTTCCCCAGAAAAAATGAAAGTGACACTGAACATAAAACACGGATCGACTAATATATTAGGAAAGAGAAACAATATATAATATATGAAGGTTATCAAAGAAAGAATTTGGGTTCTCACATAACTAAGTAGGGTAGGCACTTTATCCGATACGCGATTTCGTACCCGAACCCGAGCCAAAACATTCGAACCGAAATCTGAACCGAAGTAGCAAAATACCCGAACGGGTATTGAGTTAGAAGAATTTGGATATCCGAACCCGAACGAGTATCCGAAGATAACCGAACATATATATATATATATCTATTTATTCCTAGTTTATTTGTCTCATTTTATTAAAAATATTTCTATTAATGTTATATATAGTTTAAGATCAGATAATATACATATAATTGTAAGAAAAAAAATTGATTTGTTACTCATTTAAAATGCATATTAAACTTCTTATTTCATATTTTAAACAAAATTTGCATCCAAAATTCGAAAATAACAACCAAAATAATGATTTTTATTTTCAATAATTTATTTCCAAACTTATTAATCGTTAACTTATTAAACATTTTTAAAACAGTTCAGTTAATAGTTAAATTTTAAATACATTAAACTTAAGTAATAAAGAATTTGAAATTTTCTTTCAAAATCTAAATATCCGAACCCGACCCAAAATAAGCGAACCCAAACTAAAAATATCCGAACCCGACCCGATATGTAAAAATACCCAAATGGATTCTAAACCCCAATATCGAAATACCCAAAAACCCGAAATATCCGATCCGAACCCGAACGGATATCCGAACGCCCACCCCTATAACTAATTCTTGTCATATAGGGTCCAAATAGTCTTTTCTGGTGCCTATGATCTTTTTTTCCAAAGGGTATCTCTCCTATTTTGCTTTTGAAAATGAAAATGAAGACTACTAATTTTCTAAGTTTTATGTCATCACAATTTTTGGAAACAGACAATAAAACCAGCATGTACTTGTAGTTATCTTTCAATTATTCTAATAAAGCTGCACATTTTCCTATACAATAAATCTCTTTCAAAGAAAGTTTTATTAATTTAATTTTAAATGAAATATGGAGAGGCAGAGTATACGAAGTAACTCATTTTCTAAACGCGAAATAAATAATGCATTTAAATTCCACGTCGCACACTTAACATTTGTTTCCTTCTGACAAGAAAGAACAACATATTAAGGACAAAAGGTAAAAACCAAATCAAGAATCCGTAACCTTATCATCTCGATCAACGGCGCTCGAGTTCTTGCAATGAGCAATGGCCGCCTGAATCGCTGCTTGCAACTCTTCCATGGTGCTATCACTGGACGATGATGAAGTGGATGCTGAGCTCGAAGAGAGCCCCGCCGTGGAGATACGGAGGTGGCCACTATTCGTTGGAGACGTTCTCATCGAAGCGGGAGCGGAGAATAGATCACCTCTCCTCGCTCTCATCAGATCTCTCGATCCATTAGTCATCATTTTGTTGTTTCCTTTCCAACCTATCAAAGAGGAAGAGAATGAATAAGAAGAAGTCTGTCTTCTGTTCCTCAACTCCGTGCCCTTTCCTCTCTTCTGAAACAACATCTTTATGTACTTCTTGACTGCGTGACTTAGGTTCTTCTTCTGCTGTTGCTGCTCTTGCTCTCGCTCTCGCTCGTTCCCTTGATACCCTTTTGTCCATTTCGACATACCAAAGAGAGAAAATGACTTCACTGTTTTCGGTTTGACTCGATTCTCACCTTCCACGCTCTCTGCTTTACTGCTTGTGTTGTTGTTCTTCGCCTCGACACTGATGCTGTTGTTGTTTGTGGTGGGGAGAGGGGTGGGTTGGTCAGGTGATACATCTTTGACGGGGAGAGCAAATCCTTCATTATACGAACTGGTGGAAGTTCGAGGAGAGACAGGGAGATGTGAGAGAAGATGAAGAGGGAGAAGATGGCCGTGGAAGAAGATTTCATCGGCAGGAGACAAGTCAACGGCGAAAGGATCGGTTTGTTGATGAGAGGGCGCCGTTTTGGTGGGGTTTCTGAGACTAGGAGAGATGAGTTTTGAGGAGGAAGATAAGTCGTTAGGTTGGAGGGAGATGGTGAAAGAGAAGTCATGAGAAGGAGAAGAACAAGTGGATGATATGGGGGAAGGTGATGACTGTAAAGCTTCTTGTTTAGGGTTTTGCTTTTCAGGAAAAGTTTGGGAACTGTTCTTCACCTGTTGTAGATGGGTTTCCATGATGATTGAGGAAGCAAAAAGAAAACAATCAAAAAGGGAAAAGGGACTTCTTTTTTTGTTAATCAAAGGATATGTGTGTGATAAGAATATTATTATTAGGTTCAGTCTTGGGACCTTTTAGTAAAGTGGCGTTCTTTGCTTTCTATTTCTTTTGTGTTTATTAAAATATATGTATTTTACCGGTTTTCCTGTAAATGTAGAACACGACAAAATCTTTTCTAGTGGAGAAGATAAGAAAGCCATGGAGAGGGACAACAAAGAGGGGAACCGGGGAGGGAGAGAGAAAAACATGGAATGGTCATCACAAATGTAGTAGACGAATTATGTAAAGAATATAACGTCACAAAGATTCAAGTTAGGGGGAAAGCACATTCGGTTAAGGTGGGGATGACATTTTACCTTTAATATATTTAGCTCGAATTATAATTGCTGGTCTTTATATTTTAAGATAGGGTTCGGTACATTTCTGCTGTAACCGTGACTGAACCAGCAGTTAACTTGGACCAAGATGAGCTGGAAGAACTTAATGAGTTAAGTGACACTAATTTGGAGCAATATGTGATAAGTGAGCTGAATGATATACTATAGTTGTTATGAATGGATTCGGACCAAATGCAATTCAGCCCAAACAAGATGATGGATCAGTCTTATCATTCTCAGCCCAAAAGAATGAAACAAAGACTTATTCTCTTTATCTACAGGTCCAATCACGAGGAGGCTGAAGGAAGCAATTTTGTGTCTAGTTTACTCTGAACCGTGATCAAACCAACTAGGAACTCAAGTCAAAGTGCCAAATAAGTTGTTCTACTACTCAGTCTCTAAATCCACCTAGGTTTATCTTTTCCTTTCTCGTTTTCTACAAGCGTTTAGTGAAAATCGTGTTTTATGTTACACATAAACTCTATAGTTTCTGAATTATTGTTTCACTTTTATCAAATAGAACTTCTTTTGATAGGTAAATCCTTTGTTCATCACTTAACATCGGTTGCCTAGGAGAGAAATCTCCGCAACCAACTTCGCCTTTGATGTTTGTTTGTTGGAATGCCTTTCACAATCAAAGGCACATCTACACAAGTGATGATCATCCCATATCGACACTGAAGTCCATCCAATTCTTAAATCATTCCTAATTTGATTGTGTTAGTAATCAATTAGATCATCAAAACTATCCTGATTGTGTTAGTAGCCATCAGAAGATCAGCCCAAATGGACCCTCAAGATCAACAGAAGGGATTCAACCATCTAGGGGTTTATTAGGTAATATAAGAGCAGTTTGGGGGCTTTGATTTGTTAGGTTTGTTTTTTATTTCGTTCTTTGTTTTGGGATTTTGATTTTTTTTTTCTATGTTCTTCTCTTCAACGCTTATCTACCTTCTGTTAAACAAGAGAGCCAGGCCTAGACAGTATATATAAAAAAAAATAAGAAAAAGAAAGATTCAGTCGAGGAGTAATTTGACTAGGAAAGAAAGAATCAGCCGAGGAGATATCCGATTCTGACTTGGTTAATCTCATTGCACAAAAAAATATTGCAATATGTCTATCTTACTTCTCTGTTTTAGGGGTTGCTCTTTAAGGCTTGGCCTTTGGTTGTTGTTGTTGAACTACTTGATCACAAAAAAAACGCTTGAGTGAACAAAAACTCAAAGAGAAAATGAAGCTTCGGCTATTCTTGTTGTACTTACTCTACTTGTTGAGATTGTAACAGAAAATTATGTCTGAGAAAAGCAGTGAACAAGAAGAGACATCAACTTCGAATATTTTACAAATTGCAGATGGAAGCAATGATATCTGAAATTATGAAAAGATGAAAGAAATTGAGTGTTTACAAAAGAAAAAAACTGATGATTTCTTTGCTAATGTTTCTCAGGCTGGAAGAGCTAGATGCTAGGAACAAAAGAAGAGCTAAGAAGGCAGCAATATCATAAGAACATGAGAGTTTGGATTTTTCAGGAAGGAGTGATCAGACACCTCGACCACATACATAATCTACTCACAGAACAAGAACAAATCATAGTCTTGGCAATCTTAAACTCAGGATACCATCTTTCAATGATAAAAACAACCATGATGCCTACATGGAGTGGGAAAGAAAAAGATGGAACTTGTCTTTGATTGTCATAACTACTTTGAAGAAAACAATGTTAGATTGGCTGCAACAGAGTTCTGTGGCTATGCAATTCACTGGTGGGATTAGCTTGTCACTAGCCGAAGGAAAACTGGAGAAGTGCAAGTTACATCATAGTTTGAACTCAAAACCATTACAAAAAAAAATTTCGTCCCTAGTTACTACACAGCCGAGATGTTCGAAACTAAGAATACTTACCTAAGGAAGCAGAAGTGTTGAAGAATATTTGAAGGAGATGGAGATGTTGATGATGAAAGTGGCCGTAGATGAAAACCTTGAAGCTACTATTTCAAGATGGGCTGTGACATCCAGGATAGATTGGAGATGGACGAGTATGGATGCATATAAAAGCTCCTCTACAAGGTCATTATCATTGAGCAGCAAATCAAAAGAAAGACTTACTCTAAGACAACCTTATACCAATTACGATAAGGTTTTTGTAAAACCAAAAGTAGAACCTAAGCCCTATGGGCAGGAAGACAAAGGAAAGAGACCAACAACAAGATCCAGGATGTGAAGTGTTACAAATGCAGGATTTTAGGCACTATGGGAATGAATGCACCAACAAAAAGATCATGATCCTCCTTGGAAGTGATGAATTGTTATATGAAGAAGAGAGGGCTGATGCATCTGAAGAAGATGCTGTGGACTATGCACTCTATGGAGAACTACTGTTCACATGGAGAACCTTGAGTGTTCAGCCAAAATTTGAAGAACATGCAGAGAGAAAACCTGTTTTACACTTGTTACATTGTCCAAGACAAGGTTTGTAGTATGATCATTGATGGTGGGAGTTGTACTAATGTTTCCAGTGAAACTCTTGTATGCAAATTTGGAATCATGACTGGAAAACACACTCGAACATACTCACTTCAGTGGTTGAATGAAGAAGGTGAGCTGAAGGTGACACAACAAGTTATGGTTCCTATAACCATTCGAAGATACCAGGATGAGATGGTGTGTGTTTTTTTTTTCCTATGGATGCCAGCCATATTCTTCTTAGCCGACCATAGCAGTATGACAGGAAAATCATTTTATGATGGAAAGGGACGGTCATGGACTAAAGTAGATAAATCCCATGTTTTAGACGCCAAAATATATTATATAATTAGGGGGCAGAAGATTGTATAAGTTTATTGTGGTATAGTGGTTCAAGGTATTTTAGACTGCTACACGGTTCGATGCTTGAGCCTTCATTTTAAGGAAAAATATATTTTATTGATGAGTTCAAATTTTCTAGGCTCTAGGCACCCACAGACAGCAGACCGGTCCTGATCATGGATTTACTAACCGATAGTGCTTCTCCCATCAAGACAAGAACATCATTCTCGCTCCTTTGTAACCACAAGAAGTTCATCACGATCAGATCCAACTAAATCTCTGAAGGAAAGAGGATAGGACATAAACAAATAAGCTGATGGAAAAGAAAACTAAGGAAAAAAATCTATTGCCGAAAACAATGAGGCTAAGAAAACTATGTATCTTCAGCAATTTATGCTTTTGTTATTTTTAAAGGTGCACTAATGAATTTTCTGAAATTGCACTGGTGCTACCGAATGAGCTTGAATTTTTTTTACAATATTTTGGTGATGTATTTCCAAAAGAAAGTCTCAATGAACTGCCACTAATCCGTGGGATTGTACACCCAATAACAAATCGGTTTCTGGAGCCTCTCTTTCAAACAGACAAGCTTATTGAACCAACCCTGATGAGACCAAAGAACTTCAGAAGCAAGTAGATGAGCTGATTGAGAAGGGACACATGGGAGAGAGTACGAGTCTATGTGCAGTTTCATTGCTTCTTGTGCCACAGAAAGATGGAATATATTGCATGTGTGTAGACTGTCGTGCCATCAACAACATCACTGTAAAGTACACACATCATATTCCTAGACTTAATGACATGTTGGATGCATGTGTCTTGTGTGTTCTCTAAGGTTAATTTCAAATGTGGTTATCATAAGATTATGATGAAAGACGGAGATGAATGGAAAACTGCATTCAAAACTAAACTTGGATTGCATGAGGTATGGTTATGCCATTTGGAGAAATGCACCTAATAAATTTATGAGATTGATTAATCACATCATGTGAAAATTCTTGTGTCATTTTCTAGGAGTTTTTTTTTTATAACACTTTAAAGTTTAAGAGTTCAAGATGATACAAAAAAAAGAAACAAAAGAGATAAGATGAGATGTCATTAGACACCAAATAAAAGTGGGAGGGACCTCACCAAATTCTCTTATTGCTGAGCCTCCAAAGCGAGTAAGTGATATAGCCACACCGGAGCATTTCGGGCGATGTACGACTGGTGGCGCAGATCACGAGTGACACTTAAAGCAATTGCCGATGCAGCTTCATTGCGTTCTGGAAGAGCGTAATCCAAACTCCATGAATCTATCCTTGCCAGAAGAAAAGAGATATTGTGGAGAATATGGCTGAGGCTATGGTGTTCATCAGGCTTTGTGAGTGCGTCATGTAGGCTCTCCGACGAAGTCTCAAAAATAATATTTGAGAAATGTAAATTATGCAAACATTCAACCGCCCAAAAAAGGGCCCATAAGTCTGCCTCTGTTTTTGTGCGCATACAAGAATAGGCTCGACGACTATACATGATTGTACACCCATTTTCATCACGTAAAATCCATGAAGCACCACTAAGATGATTTGAATTTATCCATGAGGATCCAACATTACATTTGAGGAAACCATTGGGCGATTTTTTCCATCGAACCATTTCCATATCGACATCATCCACTCCATCCTTCGTTCCTGTGAATGTATCAAACCATGTAGATTCTTTTTCATAGGCTTTCTTAGCAATAAACGAAGACTCAATAACCTTGGTTTCAAAAACAAAAGCATTCCTAGCTTTCCAAATTTTCCACAGCAACCATGGGAAAACTTTTCTTATATGTATATCCGTAAATGAGCTCTTAACAGTCTTGATCAGGTGCACAAAATTTAAAAAGGTGGAATTCCAAGAGAAGCCTCCTAAGGGTACTGGGAAGTTAGATTGTTCCCATGTGTCACGTGCTTTAACACATGTAAAAAGAACATGACAGATACTCTCAGCACCATTACCTCAAACAGAGCATGTTGGGTCTATCGGAATACCCCGAGTTGTCAAACGTTGCTTAACAGCTAACGCACCAGATAGA